AATTATTTTATATTTTAAAAAATGAATAAAATAATATTTTTTAAAAAAATAATAAAATATTATGAATATGTAAATTTGAGTTAATTAACGAGTTAATGAGCTGAATATCTTTAAACTTGACTTCGAACTTGAGCTCGATTAATACTGAGTTCGAGTCGAACTTTGATTTGAACTAGTTGCGATCGGCTCGATTGACATGCACCCTACTGACTAGGGATGAGCAAACAGTACAAATTCGATAATTCGGTTAGCTGAATTCGGTGAATTCTGTTATTTGGCTTTTAGAAATCTAAACCGCTTTCAATTTCGAATTGGCTATAACCGAATTCATTTCGTAACCGATTTCGAATTCAGAAATGGTAGTGAATTCGGTTAACCAAATTCATTTATAAAAAAAAAAGCTGATTTTTTAAAAATTATTATTGATTTGATCCCCAAATTTATTCATAATTTAACACATTACTTATGTTCTAATCATTTTGTGGTTTTATTTAATTGGCATTTATTTGATCGCTTATACCTAGAATCCTTAGTCTATGATTTAAGGAACACATAAAAAGTGATTAATTTAAACTAGAATAAACCTTAGACTATACAATGATTAGTGATAATTTATGAATTTATAATTTACAATGATTAATAATAAGTAATATTAGTTACAAACTTACAAATTACAATGATTAGTAACAAGTTATATTAGTTACAAACTTATAATTTATTTCAAATCAAAATAAAACTTATTTACTTACATATGTTATTGTGAAAGTCAATACACTAATACATTGATTTGCAGTTCATATGCATTCACTCACACTGCTTAGTTGTCTTGTCTATATTTAAAGCCCTAAGATTAGTGAATAGAGAATATGAATTTTTATGTTAAATATGTAATGTAAATTTAGAGCACATTAATACTTGCAATTTACAGCTTACGCGTTCAAATATTTAATAATTCAAACATGAATGATGTATCAAATTACCAATATCTAAATTCTAATTACTAATTATGTTTATTGTTTAATATTTAGTATTATACATATATGTATTAATTATTATCTAATTCTAGTCATGTTACTCATGTATAAAATAATAAGTATTATAGTTATGTTATATTGTTATGTATTACTATATATTTGTATTATTGTAGTCATATAACAATTAACAAATAGTAAAATAATATATTGTACATTATTAGATATTATTATTATTATAAGTACATGATAATACCATATACTAACTATTATTAATAGCATTTACCTATATAATATAATAACATATTAGTAGTATATACTAATACTAAATAGCATTTATCTATATATTATATAATTTTATAAACTAATTTGGTATTCGAATGCAGTAATGCGGTACCCTATTTCATTTTACCGAATTTGAATGCGAAATTGGTTATTACCAAATTCATAATCTTATTATCTATTTTATACTATATTAGAATTCGGTGAATTTGGTATGTAACGAATTTATACCAAATTACCAAATATCTGATTTTAAATTATCAAATTAAATTTGAATTCGATTATGAATTCGGTATATGACGAATTTGCTCACCCCTGACAATGGCCAGGATAGCACCAAATGCATTCCTACCTATCAAATGGAAATCCAGAGACCAAATTTTGATTGGAGGAATGGAAGCTTAGTTGGCAGTTTTATTATCCGTCTCATTTCCCTCCCCATCATCATCATATCCTACTATGACAATAATGTCTGCTTTGTTATAGACAGACGATTTCATATCTGTAGACCTGTTTTAGAGACTTGTTTTTAAGTACACTGAACTTGATCACACATAAGATTCTGGTTCTTGGGAAACATAGCTCAATTTCCTTGTCATCTGCTACAACTTGATTGCATGGCTTTGCAAGCGGCTGCTTTACTTCCATCTGCTCTATCCCTCCACAAGGAGGTATGTCCATGTCACAAGTGTCTGTACCAGTAATTTTCTGATTTCTTGATGCTACTGTTTGAGTTAATGAAGAAATTACTGTTACTTCTGTTAACAGGGCAAGTCGAATGCAGCTCTGAAGGAGACAACGCTATTTGGCGTTTCAGTGTCAAATCATCTTAAAGCTGATTTTATTTCTTCTTCCAAATTGAGCAAGGTAATGTGTACTCGGGTTCTCTCAGTTTTGGCATGTTTTGGATTGTACTTGAGAAAATGGTTTGTGAGATGGAGCAAGATTAAATAGGGGTGCTAATTGATATTCTGTGGGTGGATGAAGATGTGCTCATTTTCTTGAATTCAGGGATTAAGCCTGTTAATTAAGTATTCTTTTGAGTGCGAATGATCAATAATCCTTAACTACCAATTGAATGTTCTGATATCCTATTTAATTGATTTTTGATAGCCTATGATACGAGTACTGCAGAATCTTGTTGGTGCAGAGGAGGCCAAGATCCCTAGTTTCCTTTTTTTTTTTTGTTGGGGGGGGGGGGTTGTTTTAATCACAAAACACAAAACCTTGCAGCTTATGTCCTTTATCTACCAAAGTTGTCGGCTTATCTGTTTTCTTCTTTAATCATGCATTGAACATATAATAATCCAGTCAGTCAGAAGAGCTTGTTAATCTTGGATGAAGGTGCTAAATAGAATTCATTGTTGCATTCCTAAAACCTCTTTGTTCAATAGAGTGCATAATGTATGTGTTTATCACCAAACAGATTCTCAAGTCAATTTACGCTCGTATACCATAGCTGCTAGTCCAATTAAAAAGAGAAGAACAGCGATAAACATCCCTCTTTCTTCCTTCCCAGATAGAAATTACACAAGATGGGCAGTGAACCTCAAATGTGTCAAATTCATCAAAGTTCAACATGAAACGTATGCTAAAAGTTCATAAAACTGCAACTTGGAGCCTTGGATTAGTACTGTTTCACAAACTTATGCGTGCTTGGACCAAAACTACTGGCTAAAGCATTTGGTTCCATGTTTGTAGGATTTTAGGAGGAGATCGTCACTTGGAACTATTAGAGCACAAACAGTATCAGCTCCAGAAATCAGCCAGGCTGCATCAGAAGAGAAGAAGACTTTGAGAAAAGGTAATGTCATAATTACAGGAGCCTCCTCAGGATTAGGTCTGGCTGCAGCAAAGGCAATCAGTGAAACGGGAAAATGGCATGTCATCATGGCTTGCAGGAATTTCCTCAAGGCTGAGAAAGCTGCTAAATCAGCTGGCATTTCAAAGGAAAACTATACGGTCATGCATCTTGACCTTGCTTCACTTGAAAGTGTACGTCAATTTGCAGACGCATTTCGACAATCTGGGAGGCCACTTGATGTGCTAGTTTGCAATGCTGCAGTATACTTCCCCACTGCAAAAGAGCCAACATATACAGCTGAAGGTTTTGAGTTAAGTGTTGGCACGAACCATCTTGGTCATTTCCTCCTTTCAAGGTTGCTGCTAGATGACCTGAAGCAGTCAGACTACCCCCAGAAACGCCTTATAATTGTTGGGTCCATAACTGGTAATCTCTACTCACCACATGTGCAGACTGCACCAAGTGATCTTTGAAAACTCTAGTCAATTTCTGAATCTAATATAGGAGCAACTCAATGAAGCTGGCAAAAAGAAGAAATCCCTGGTACATTTAGCGAAAATGAGTCATTATCTTGCTAGGATTCAAATCATAGGATCAGATGATGAGGGAGTCAGCTACTAAACTAGGCGTTTATTCCTGAGAAGAACTTTGTTCTGATAATGCAATTAGGTCCTTAAGGACAGTGTCTTTGTTTCAGTTCAGTTTCATAGAGAGTATATTTCTGTTCTTAACAGGCCTAAAGAAATTGAGCTGCTGTATTTATAGACCTTTTGTGCTTTTGTCCCATCAGGAAACACGAATACCTTGGCAGGCAATGTGCCACCAAAGGCTAACCTTGGGGATCTAAGGGGACTGTCAAGTGGCTTGACTGGACGGGATTCCTCACCAATGATAGATGGTGGACAGTTTGATGGAGCAAAAGCCTACAAAGACAGCAAAGTTTGCAACATGCTCACTATGCAAGAATTCCATAGAAGGTTTCATGAGGAGACAGGCATCAGCTTCGCCTCTCTCTACCCAGGATGCATTGCTGAAACTGGTCTTTTCAGGGAACACATCCCACTGTTCAGGCTTCTCTTCCCCCCATTCCAGAAGTACATTACAAAAGGCTATGTGTCTGAAGAAGAAGCTGGAAAAAGACTTGCACAGGTCAGTGAAAATCACACAGCAAGATAGATATGCATCCAGTTTTGCAAACAGACTTACAGTTTCTTTCTGAACCACAGGTAATAAGTGATCCAAGCCTATCAAAATCAGGTGTTTATTGGAGCTGGAACAAGAACTCATCTTCATTTGAAAACCGGCTATCAAAAGAAGCCAGTGATTCAGAAAAGGCACGTAAACTGTGGGAGATCAGTGAAAAGCTTGTTGGATTAGCTTAAAGAAAACTTGGAGGGCACAACTCAAGTCTCTGTCATCATAAGCAAGGTTTGTGTAGTTAAGATTGACCTGGAAAGAAAATTACAATGAGCGATTCCTAAAACAAAATAACTTGCGCCTAGAAAGATTAGAAAGGTGAGCCATCCTTTGTACAGATGAGGCCTTTGTAAAAATAGCTTTGTCATTTTGCTCATGTGACATTTCAATTATAGTGTCTCTTTCATATGCTCTGAAAATTTTCGTTTTCCCCTTGACAGAGAATGTTGTCAATTGTTTTATTGATATGTTTTTGGTTAATGCGATTTATACAAGAATACTTTCTTTGAGAACTATATTCATTCCTAGAGCAAGAAACTCAAAGTTGTGGAGATTTTCAACTGCGAGCTTACCTTCTCCCAACAGAGTTTCTTCGGAGTTCCAGACTAACCTCACCATAGGCTTGATGCTTCGGCACTGATCAGCACGCATTCCATGACCAAGATAGAGGTTTGCTTAAGGGTTTTGTACACTGCCGCCTGATCTTGTGCTTCAATTGCCTGGGCGCAAATTACAGACAACTGAAAACTACACTTCCTTTGGCATCACCTTGAAGGTGTAGACTGTGTTCAATGGCAAAAGTCACGCATTCTTTCTCATTTTGCCTTCCACTAGAAACGGTGCAAGTAAACACAAGGCAACTGAATTTGAGCACCATTACAATTTTGCCTTCACACATGCACAGGCGTTAACTTCTTTCCTGTATCGAGTCAGGCCTCTAGACTCATATTAAAGGCGTGAAGCTACAACTGCAACTGAATCACGCCTTCAAGTGCCAGTGCCGTCTGTTCCATTTTTGTCCCCATCTCCAAAAGTGCATTTCCAATTTTTCCGCTACAGAAAAAATTCCCAGGATGCATCATCAGAAAATCATTTAGTATGGTTCCAGGCAACAACTGAAAGTCAAACTCAAAGCCCTCTGATCATTTCACAGAGGTTTTAGCCCAGAAGACCCAATAAACAAATGTTAAAAAAAAAGAAGGTAAAAACTTTGCCCAATCTTCTCTGCATTTTGACAGATGATTCATGGGTTTTACTCTGACAGTTTTGGCTAACTTAAAGAGGCCAAGAAACCCATAAAAGATTTTGGTTAAATCGCAGACTTTTGCTGATATTATTGCCTCCATCTCCGTCTTGATTCTTAAATTCCACCCCCTTCCTCACTTAAAAAAAAAAAAAGAGTATCCAATAATATTGTCTGTTGCTATTTTTGCAATTTGCAGCCAGTATTTACTACCTCTAAATAAGGAAGAAACTCATAAACAGTCTTGGCTCTTGAGTCAATCCCAGTTTTTCCTCTACTCTTCTTGGAGCTTAGGAATGGGTATTCCACAGCGTTGTCTTCTTTTGCTTTGAAGAACTAAGAGCAAGTACAAAAAAATGGATCTTGAGCTAACTGATAATGCTGGTGATGCCTCAGATCATCATGAGCTGGTGGAAAAGAGAAGGAAGAGTACAAGGAAATTCGTTCTTGCTTGTGCTGCTTTTGCATCTATTAACAATGTCCTTATCGGCTATGGTATGTTATTTGACTTTGATTTTCATGTCCACTTCGATTGGTAAATGATTAGCCCTTTTCTTATATGTCAGATTTTGCACTTTTAGCTGATAAACTTTGCTCTGTTCAATGTTTAGAGTGTTTGTTCTTCTTTGACCACAAAAAAAAAAAAAATAAATAAATAAATAATTTGAGATTAGACGAAGATCAAACACTGATAAATCCTGGTTTTTCGATATCATGGTGATACTTTTAGCCGCTTTGGAGAGAAAATATGGAAAAAGAGTGTTTTTTTTTTTTTTTTAGATTTAGTAGTGTTCTTCACATATTGAGCTCTTTGATCTACTAGACTTGTACAGGTTCTCCGGTCTCTGTTTTCACTTTTTGATGTTTGTTAAGCTATTGTTAACAAATAAAGAATCACTCTGATAGTAGCGTAACCTCAGTTGTGTCATTCCTTAGCTCTGTAATCCTTAATGTGCCTTTAATGGGCCATCAAGGACAGTGAGTACATTGGGTCGATAGATAAAAGAGGGGTATGATTATATGGCAAGAATATCAGGCTTTCATGCATGTATCATGATTGCAATGAAGCAGCAGGCAAGCATCGTGCAAGTATAAACTGTCAAGTGCCGTGAATTCATTTTACTGGCATATCTGCTGTCAAATGGTATGCAGTAGTGTCTCTCGAAATCTACATATTAATGTGTTGTTTGGGCAATTAAACTTTTTAAGATGAGCTAGTTAGGCCAATCAGATATTCTTTAGTGGTTCCTCCTGAGGTTACATGATGTTCTTTTATATTTCTTGCTGTGACTTTTGTTAGTTGACGCTGATAATAAGGGTAAAGAGAAATTTCAGCTCTAGCATGTGCATATGGCACCATGTGACTTGAGGTCAGTTTTTTCGGTACACAGATGTAGGTGTCATGACTCATGAGTGGGGCAATACTATTTATTAAAGAAGATTTGAAGACAACAGAGGTGCAAGAAGAAATTTTTCTTGGTATCTTGAGCATAATATCAATTTTGGGTATTTTAGCTGGTGGAAGAATATCTGATGCCATTGGGAGAAAACCAGCAATGGGTTTAGCTGCTTTTGTCTTCCAAGCAGGAGCAGTCATAATGACTGTATCCCCCACATTTGAGGTACTAATGATAGGAAGAATCTTGGCTGGAATTGGAATTGGTTTTGGAGTCATGATTGCACCTGTTTACATTGCAGAGATATCACCTGCATTTGCTAGAGGTTCCCTCTCCTCCTTTCCTGAGATTTTCATAAATCTGGGAATCCTTTTAGGTTTTGTCTCCAACTATGCATTTTCTGGTCTTCCAGCACACCTAAACTGGAGGATAATGCTTGCAGTGGGAATTCTGCCTGCAGTCTTCATTGCATTTGCACTATGCATAATTCCTGAGTCACCACGGTGGTTAGTTATGCAGAACCGAATTCAAGAGGCAAGGGCTATTCTGTTGAAAACAAATGATAATGACACAGAGGTAGATGAGAGGCTATCAGAAATTCAATTAGCTGCTGGAATTACTGATGCCGAGAAGCATCAAAGCAAGGCTGTGTGGCGTGAATTGCTAAGTCCTACTCCAGCACTTCGCAGGATGATGATCACTGGTTTCGGAATCCAGTGTTTCCAACAGATTACTGGCATTGATGCAACTATTTATTATAGTCCCAAGATCTTTAAAGCTGCTGGTATTGATGGTAACTCAAACCTTCTTGCAGCAACAGTGGCTGTGGGGGTTACAAAGACGGCATTTATACTTGTAGCTATTGTTCTTATCGACAAAGTTGGGAGAAAGCCACTGCTCTATGTGAGCACAATTGGTATGACTTTATGTCTGTTTACATTGGGAACCAGCCTTTCCATTCCGGGAGAGGGATCTGTCGGAATAGCATTGGCAATACTATCAGTCTGTGCAAATGTAGCTTTCTTTTCCGTGGGTATTGGTCCCGTTTGTTGGGTTTTGACTTCTGAAATCTTTCCTTTGAGGCTAAGAGCTCAAGCATCAGCACTTGGAGGAGTTTGCAGCAGAGTATGCAGTGGCCTGATTGCTATGTCCTTCCTCTCTGTTTCGCATGCAATTACTACGGCTGGGATCTTTCTTGTGTTTAGTTTACTTTCAGCAATTTCTGTTGCCTTTGTCTATACAATGGTTCCAGAAACTAAAGGTAAATCTCTGGAGCAGATTGAGCTGCTGTTCCAAAATAATATCTGCGGAGGTTTTGGTATCAAAAATTTCATCTCCTCAAAGTTTCTTGGCGACAAACATAAAGTGTCAGCACGCACAGCTTGAGATGATACAAGTAGGACAGTTTGGGCAGGAATTTGTAGCCTCAACTTTTGGTTAGTCCTACGTATAGAGCCACATGTATCTCTTTCCTTTTTTTTTTTTCTTTTTTTTGTACATAATGGTCTTGCTTCTGACTGCTTACTCTTCAATATCAAAAGCCTCCTTTTAATTTCATTAAAAATGTTTTATACCACAGCAAGATCTGTATTCTGAACGGTAAAAGGACCAGCTCTTGTATTTTTTTTTTTTTCCTTTTTTTGGGTTGGATATAACTTGTCAGACAATGGTTTATAGCTGTCAAGGCTAATTTCACTTTTCACTCTTCAACTATATCTAGATTTCAACTTTGGTCTTTGAACTTTAAAATGGAATACTTTAGTCCCTAAAATATAAAAATTTCTTCCACTTAAATAAAATCATTGATGAGAGCGGGATCAAGTTTATACTTAAGTGTGATAAATTTTATATTTTATGGATTAAAGTAGAATAATTTTTATACTTTAGGAACTAAAGTGTTCTATTTTAAAATTTAAGAATTTAACACTTTTTGACAGTAAGAAGAACTTTAAGAATCATATTTTGACCACCAAACAAACATAGTGGTTAATTTTTTAACATATATGGTCATATTTATAAGGCCTAAATCTTTAAGCCCAATAAATTTTGATTTAAACTTTTTTTTTTCAATTGAGATTATTTTTTCGTTGAACTGATTTTTATGAGTAGCATTCAATACTAATAATGATTTTAAGAAAACACATTATTAATATCCATAGATTAGTAATTAGGAAGATCATTGAACTTGATCTAGTGATGTTGGTTTGTTTGGATTGTGTTTTATTTGGAATATTTTTACTGTAGCACTTTTTGTGATGTGATGTGATGTGTGTGAAATAAAAAGGTAATTGAAAAGATAAAAAGATGTATTGAAAATTATAATAATGATGTAAGCAAATAAAATTGAAAAAATAAAACACAATCCAAACAAACCTAGTTGCAGTCTCCAAAACTGATTCACCGGATTGGATCGTATGTGATTAGGAAGTTATGCGGATCAGATTCGTGTTTCATATTCGGCTATTGGTCTTTTTATTTTTTATTTTTCTACTTGGGCAAAAGTTCGAGGTCCTTCACTGCAATTAACCTTTGTTGAAAATCAGCATTGGAAGAAAAATATAAAAAGGTTGAAAATTTAAGGCGAATACGCAAACAGTAACTGTAGAGGATCAAGAAATGGTGAACTGGGGAATTGCAGAACTCCACAGAAACTCGGGCAACTGGGACAACCTAGTTAAGGATATAGTGAAGATGGAGAAAAAGATTTTCCCAAAACACGAATCACTTGCTCGATCGTTTGATGAAGAACTCAAGAAAAGGAACAGTGGGCTGCTTTACTCCCAGGTTGAAGATGGAGATGTTGCTGGCTATGTCATGTACTCTTGGCCTTCTTCGATTTCTGCTTCCATTACAAAACTTGCAGGTTCTATTTCTATACTCATCATCTTGCAGCCATTATTAATACTGGTTCGGTTTTCTTGTTGAAATTTATTTGTTGCGCTAATCCCTTTCGTGGGATTCGTCATGTTCGAATTTGAGAATTCAGGAGCTTAATTGCTCTTATTTGTTCAATAATACGGATTATAGGGAGCTATTAAAAAGAGCCCAGTTGTAAAATTACTGGGTAGCCGGAACAAGTCTGTCATCTTCAATTCTGTTCTCAGTTTTCAGCGCAAGTCTTTTTTCTTTTTCTTTTTTTTTCATTTTTTCTTAAGAGCTACTGTTTTAGTAGGCACAGTTATAATTTATCAAAAATGAAAAGAAGCGTAAATGGTTAGGTAGCATGGAATTTGAACTGATTATTCAGAGTTTGAGTTCTTCTATTAGCAAATGCAGGTTGGTTGATAGAAAATTGACTCAGCATTGAGAATCGTTATAGGTTTTTTTTGCACAGACTACAGATTAAATTAGACTTCTATCATAATTGTGCTGATTTGTCCACAGATCGAAGTTAGGCTTGGTACAACTAGTGTACCAACTTAGCAACATAAAGGCGAAAAATGCAGATTGCTAGTTGTGCATCTTATAAATGGTGGGTCTGTGTAACAGAATGTTTCTTTGTTGAATTTCTGCTTGGTTTTGTCTTTTGCACTGATTGATCTTATTCCTTTTGTTTTGCAACACTACAATTCATCTTCCTTTTCTACCTCCCCAAATTTCTTAATTCATGTCATTTTCCAGCAAAATTGGCATGTGTTAAGGGCTTAAGGCCCCTAGCCCTTAACACGAAATTAGACGTGGGGTAGTCACCCCAATCACATCTGCTGCTACGAGGTCCCTGAGGCCTGTTGGTGGTGTATCCATTGAACTCTGTGATAGCTGGTGCTGGACTGCTTCTTTGGATAGCCTTGCAAGAGATTAGATTTCCTTTTGTTAGCAGATTACAAGAAAAATTAAACAAAAATCCTCATAAAGTCAAGAAGTAGAATATGAAATCATGAATTGTTCCACAAACATGTGGAAACTCTTCTATTGAGCAATTCTTGTTGTGCAAGGGTAATGTCCTGTCTCTCTGCTTTCTGAAGTTACTTTGTCTACTTTTTAGTCTTATACCTTCGACATCAATGACTTAACCTCCTAAAGCGGTCCTCAGGGTAGAAAATCATGAATATATGTGCCTTTTGACATGAAACTCTGGAACAACTCAACTTGATGTGGTAGTTAGGTCTTTGACCTATATAAGTCATAATTTAGTGTAGAAAGGACACAGAGTAAAATTGCAGTGTTTCATTATCTCATGCAAGACCACAAAATGTACAAAATAGCATATCCATCCTCCTAAGTCATACCAGCCTCCCTTTTATGCTGTTCTAGGTTATGTATATTTGCAAAATGTGATCCCATGGAGAATATAGCTTCTTAAAACAATGACAAAAAATTTATAACGAAACCCCTTCTGTGGATTTGAGATCTTCCTTTTCTTTATAACCTCCTCATCTTATAAAGGAGTGTTTAAACAAGAATTACATGATTCAGGCTGGTTTGCACTACACATTCTTCAGAGCAATATAATCCTGAAATTTTTCACCAGGTTGAGCAATGATTGCCCCTCCTTGGACTGCTCTGACTTATACCTCAGTTCAATTCTTGGTGCTCTTTCAGTTATGGTTTTCCAGACACATTGAGAAATAAAGTTGATGAATTTAGCCTCAAGCTTGGGGTCTCCCACCAAAATGGTGGTATTGCACATATCATTTGTTGACTTGGAGATATCAATTCTTTCTTCCATCTTTCTTATTCGGTTTTTGTTTTGAAAGGAAAGGGGAGGGAGGGAGAAAATTTTCCTCCTGAGGACCATGACTAGTAAATGAAAAAAAATGATGAAGATGCACTTTTGAGAAACCTTACTATCGGCTTCTTTTGAAAGAGAAATACAGGACAACAACAACGTTCATCTTTCTCCTATGATGCCTTCTGAAATCCTGCTTCACTCTAACCAAAATCAACTGTATGCGATTCATTTGGAGAGACTGAAGCCTGTTGATAAGCTGATTACAGTTCCTTATTAGCATGTTCCTATCTTGTATGGTAGTGTTTGGTCCTTGCATGAAGTGTCTGTGATTTCATCCATTATTAACTTTTGTGCTACTAAAAGAAGCATGGATTTAACTTTTATTTCACTATATATTGAATTTTTTTCTGGGTTTAATTTTGATTGATTGTTGTGATTTTTCTGGCTGGAAAAAAAAAAATAGTGAAGGAAAATCATCGAGGACGAGGGCTTGGAGAAGCATTGCTGAAGGAAGCGATCCACAAATGCGGAACAAGAAAGATCCAAAGGGTATCCCTTCATGTTGATCCTGAAAGAACTGCAGCTATGAACCTCTACAAGAAACTGGGATTCAAAGTGGATACTCTTGTTGAGGGTTATTATTCCCCAGATCGAAATGCTTACAGAATGTACCTTGATTTTCAAACAGATTAACTTAATCAAGTGTTCATGAAATTCATATATCACCGTTTGTTTTTTAATTTTATTTTATAGTGAAATTCCACATTATTTGATCGTTTTTAACTTTTTATAGAATTTGTGGCAATCTTACCCTATAATTGCACCCCTAAAACTTTTTATTTCTTTAAACATGTTCAAAACGAACCAAGTACTAGTTAAAAAGTATAAAACAAGAATGAATTTAAAAACTTTTGATACATAAAAATGAACATAAAACTTTGTTATCTATTGCATAAAAAGTAATTATTATCCGATAATTTCAATGTTGTTATCTGTTTTAATACTCTATATATTTTTTAACAAAATTCACAAAACTATCTCACTGATTTTGAACTATAATTTTTACCTTAATCTTATTTGTTGTACACCAAGTTAGTTAGCTGTCCCTCTAAAGTTCTAACTTTGGTCATACCTTCAATAGTGATTCACAAATATGTATGAAAAGTATTAGCATGATCCCAAGGGCTCCATTTTGGAAGAAGAAAAACAAGCATAATAGAAAAAGAAATTCTGTCCAAACTAAGCAAAAAAAAAAAAAAGGGAAAATTAGAGCAAGTAAGACACCAAGCCTAGAGAATTTCGAAAAATGTTTGAGAAGTTATATGTGAAAAAATGTTACTGCCCAGGATCGAACTGGGGACCTTCAGTGTGTAAGACTGACGTGATAACCACTACACCACAGCAACATTCGATATCTTAGTAATTTTTATTTACTAACTATACATGGGGAAATTTAGGCGCCGGGTTTGTTTTGGTTTCCTCTCATTTTGGCTTGGATTTCGGACTTCGGAAGTTCGGAGCAAAATTCTTTCTTGTCTGATCAGCCCTGGTTTAAATTTATTCTTCCAATTAAAGCAAAAGAAAAAAAGAAAAGGGGATACTGAGCTTAACCCTGACATCTCTGATATTGATCTGGGGTCAGGGTTTTGCAAATTTGGTTGAGAAAATGTCGAGAATGGCGCGGAGTTGCCTGCAATCCGTCCTGAAAATAGTGAATTCGGGAATTGGAATGGTGGGGATAGCTACGATTTTGTATTCCCTTTGGATGTTTATGACTTGGCGAAGGCACTTGGGTCCTAATCCTCCTGATGTACCTACCCCTTGGTATTTTTTTCTATTGAATTTTCTGCTTTTCTCTGCTTATATATGCCTGAAAAATGATGGGCTTTCCTTTTTATTTATTGATTAACAAGAAAGGTGATTGCTTTATTGATTTATTGGTTGGTTGGTTGGTTTGGTGGACCGGAGGTTATCTTTCGTTTTCATGACTGGCCGGTTTGTGAACTCTTTAAACTTTTTTTTAAAAAAAACGAAAGTTTTTTTGTTTTTTGTGTTATTCTAATTGGGTTTTTTTTTGGGGGAAAAATATTTTACTTCTTTTTTTTTTGGGCTGGTGTTTGTTATGGATTGGCAGTTGAGAGCGAAATGAGAAAATCAAGGGAGAAAATTGATATGGTTTGGATTAGATATATCTCGGTAATGAGGGTTGAATAAATACGATTTGCAAATGCACCTCTATAGTGATGGCTTGGATTTTTGTGGTGAATGAGCTCACACATAATCATTAATTGGAATCTGAGAAATGTTCAGATGATACTGATGAAAATTTTTGAGAACCTATATATTCTGATGAAAAAGTTTAGAACCTATGTGAGTGCATGTTTTTTACTCAAAGCCGATGCTTTTTTATCTGATTTAGGCAATTTGGCTTTGTTTGTGAGAGAACGTTGGAAAACTAAGTTCTTTCCATGTTTGGCTGCTGTTTCTTGGGTACATTTTTTAGCAACCATCTGTTTAGACAATGAGAATTGTAATGCTCTGTTGTGCTGCAGGTTCATCTACTCCTTTCTTCTCATTGGGGTGACTTTGTGTGTTGTGACATGCTCAGGGCACATTGCTGCTGAGACTGCTAATGGTTGCTGTCTTTGTTTTGTATCCTTTAAGTGAATGGATTTTCGTGAATAGAGTAATCGTATTACTGAAGAAATTATGCAGGGATTTTCTGTGGCTGGTGTTTGATTTTATCAGTAGCCTTGTTGCAAAAACATATAGATTGCTTTGCCATGTAGGAGACATAAAGTTATCGCCTTTGTATGGTATTCTGTGTCTTCTGCTTATGGACCTCTGGTTTGTGGTTAGGCCTTGGAGGCCTTAGGAACGAGCCTTTAGAGTGCATTAGGAGTCTTGAGCTTGTCTTATTGCCTTACTAGAGTGGAAGTGTGTTGAATGAAGAGCAGACAGTAAACGTCTTTATTATGGGTGTTTTATTCTGTCTCCACTGATGAAAGCAATCGTGTAATCATTCTCGCCTCTTATTGTTGGATTTGGCTAGCCCATTTCTTTCAGTATAAACTAGAGTTGTTGTTTTGGCTATGTGTTATGCTTTCATTGCTTTTCTGGTGCATGTTTGCAACATGGTCTCCTATCCTTCAACATGGCAAGGACAGTCTTGTTTTCCTTTAATCATAATTCTTGGTGAACTCATTGAACCTGTGGTTGGTTGTAAACTTGTTCTTTTCAAAACCTATTGAACCATTTATTTAAGTTGGCTGGGCTTTCTGTTTGTAATGCTCTTTCCTGAATAAGAAGATTAGCAGGCAATGAGTAATGTTAGGGCAAGAAAAAGCAGAAATTTTAACCACGCAGACATTAGCTGAGCTTAACGAGTAGCAAGGTTCACCTTTAATGCTTTTCAATTTCTTTCTTTTCCAGTCTTGCAAGAAATTCTGGTTTATAAGTTGATGCAAGGCCTTTTTCTTTTTCTTTTTTTTTTTTTTTGGCTGTTATGATTGTAATGGATCAGGCTAGACTGAAGCACAACTCAGTAATAGGAGTTGTCTAGCTCATTTTGGACTCTACTTCATAAAGCTCATCTTCGATTTAGTAAACCTATGAGGACTTTGAAATGTTTGTCCTGTCATACTTATTTTTGCGACTTTTTTTTAATTCTTATTCATTTATTTGTTTATTTTTAAATGCAGTTAACCTCAGTGGAGCTGTAATTTTTACTGCAACTGTTTTGTTATTAAGTGTTTGGCTAACCTTAACTCTATGAAGTACATGATATTTGTCTTTCTGCTTATCATGGTTGAAGCTGCAGTAGCTGTGGATGTGATTCTAAATCGCAACTGGGAGGAGGTAAAACTACCCTGTTCAGCATTTTACGCTTAATTATATGGGAAAAAATTCACTTTCCTGAAAAAGAAAAAAAAACACTGATAGTTGAATTGGAACAGGGCTAAGTCATATTCATTTGCACTGACTGCATGCCAGGACTTTCCAGATGACCCAACAGGGAATTTTAACGAGTTCAAAGATTTTGTGAGAGAAAATTTTGAAACGTGCAAATGGGTTGGCGTGGTTGTAGTTGCTGTGCAGGTTCTTCTCTCTCTCTCTCTCTCTCTCTCTCTCTCATACACACACAAAAGCAGGCACATTCTCCCATCCCCCAACTCACATTCTTACACAAAAGAGGCATGCATTTAGAAGCATTCATTTTATGTTTTTTTTTTAAAATTTAGTCAATTTTTTACAATCACTGATGGAATAATGCATCACTTCTTAAGCAACACACATATCCTCATTAATTAGTTCGAGCATTTACATTTTTCATATGCTGATTTTTTTTTATTTCCTATTTCCTGTGTGTGCTTGTTTACTACTTACCAAAAGGAATGAGTTTGTGCTTCTTAATTTTTTAAACCACCGTCTTTGTGGTATGTATTGAATGGTGTTCATTTTTTACATTTGCCCATTATATGTTTGCATTTCTATCTGACTGCCGAGGTGAATAAAATACTTTGCAATTTGAATATTTGTTAGTTGGCATTAGCATTTCAAATGTGAGTTGGATGTTGAAGCTTGTTTGCAAGATAAAGAAAGAAATGGAAAGAACTACCACATGGTTGTTCAGTTGGCCTATTGGTCATGTTTTATGTGCAGGGTGTAAGTATGCTACTGGCAATGATTCTAAAAGCCTTAGGACCATATCCTGAGAGATACTATGAGAGTGATGATGATTATAGTCCAGATAGAGTCCCTCTCTTGAAGCATTATGCCCCTCCGCCTTCATACGTTGTTGCTGACACACTTCATCCATCAAGGAATGATTCTTGGAATGTCAGGATCAACAGTAAGGTGGGTTTGCAATACTTTCTTGATTATTTTTGAAGAAGTGTCAATTTTTATTGGCATGATGGCATTTTGATGTACCCATCTGGCAAGCATGTTTCATCATGGTTTGTCTGTCTTTTGGTGTTCTGTCTGGTTTGATATCTCAATTGTTTGCAACATATTACTGTGAGATTTGACATTTGACTGTGTTTTCACATTTTGTTTCTCGCATTTCTTTGAGTCTGCATGAGTATAATTTTAGCCAATGTGTTTGCTTTATGAGAAAATTGCTTAAGCATGTTTTTTCTATTGCTAGTTGTCTCTTTTTTCCTTTCTTCCACTCTGCCTCCCTTTCCCTCTTTTGAATCCATACAGCTTCTGGGAAGAACTTGATACTCAGAGTCAAAGTGCACCTGCAGCTTATCTGCCTGCTTCTCCTTCTATCCTTTTTGTTTTCTCTTTCATTCTTTCATGTCCTGGTTTAGTTCCTTTAGAAGTTTCAGGAAGTTTTTCAATTTAATAAGATTGGCCAAGGAGGCCCCTTGGCCTAGAGGCTAAGGTTGAGGCCCTGGAATTAGAGGTCTTGGGTTCAAATCCCCCCCCTGCTCCATCCCTGCGTCTTAAGTCCCATCCCTCCTTGCTGGAAAAAAAATTTTAAAAAAACTTAATAACATTGATAAATTTGTATTCCAGAAATTTTTAGGGTGACTATGCTGTCTCATGGTTGCACTTCTGTACTGAGTGTTCTTCTGTGATTTTGTACTGTCCTTGCAAATTACTTGCACATATTGCTCCCTCCCTCCCTCCTCCTCCTCCCCCCCCCCCCTCTAATTTCTTGTGTTTGCTCCTGGTTTTCGAGAAAAGTGTTTGTCATCATGTAATTTTTCATTATTCATCATTTATGCATGTGCTCAGAAAGAAAATGATGAATAGATTCTGGTGAAGGACAAATAATTTAGTTGACATAAATGGCATGACAGTTCTGTACAAGTGATGATTTCTTCTCTTGCTTTGATAATTTCAGGGAAACAGATAAATTCTCTTTTGAATGAAGAGATACAACAATGTGATGAAGAGGATTAGGATCTGTACAATTGTCCTGATACTGTACATAAACCTGTTGAACTCATTCATAGGAAATACAAACCCTTATTTATGGTTTTCAACCTGTAAGCCACTTCTGCAAAAGTTCGTGAACTAAAAAGTAGAGATCACTGTAACTTTTTCATTGAAGATACATTATTGCATTTTTGAGTAGTTGCGGAGTATTATACAGACGTTTCTTGATAAGTAACTCTTTTTGAATTTGATGCTGTCCATTCTCTTTGTTTCTGGGGTTGGTATGTAGTTCGGGAAATGATCCAGCAATTATTGGTTTTATTAGCATGTAAAAGTGAGACCGAACCTATGATTACTACTCATCTCACAGAACCCTGTTTAGATCATCTCAATGTTCCGGTAAATATTGGTTAATATTTGCTCATTTGCAGACACATTTTACTCAAAAAAAAAAAAAAAAGTGTAGTAGTTGAACTAAATTGACATGCCTTTTGCTTAGTGGTTTTTTTTTTTTTTTTTTTTTGGTTTAAAATGCAGGTGGGAGGGCTAAACTTAATAAATTAGGCGATTATGAGTTAAACAAAATTACTGATCAAATAAAAAGTGTTTTCTTCTTCTCCATGTACTAAAATAAGATTCTAATTTCTAACCCGGATTTGTAAAACTAACACAGTTGAGTTAATTAGGATTAAATTAAAGAGCAAAAGTTCGTGTCATGCGACAAAAGACCAGACAATTGTCTTCTTCAACGGCAACAGGACAACTTTAACTACCACATAGTAATAACTAATTAAACATGATATCATTAGAAAATCTTTAGGCCATATTGGTAGTTAGTGGTGTTCCATTTGACCAGACAATCTCGAGTGTGCTTCTTCCATGGGATCTTCTTTTGTACTTTTTTTTTTTTTTAACTGTACAGATTGTGAAGAAAAGCGCTATCAAACAATTAAATTGAATGGTTCATGTGGCGATCCTTCATTGGTAGGAAAAGAATGGGTGAATTCTTCATAATTTAGATTGCAATTATTTTAGTGTTCGTACGCGGTCGCGATAGTAGACGTAAGCGAGGCTTCCCTCGGAACACCGGCTGCTTTTCTTTAATGTTTTTTTTTTTTCTTCTTTTTTTTTTTTTTTTTTTCTGTTGGTTTTTTGTGGAGTGTTGTGGGGGGGGGGGGGGTGGTTTTGGTTGTGGGGGGCGAGGTTGATGCTAGGCTTTCACATGAAGATCTCTTTCAAGTATTAAGGCCTGATTAGTTGCTTAGTAAAGTTCCATTAGGCTTATTTTATGGGATGTTTTGCTTACTTTATCAACCACTTTAAGCTTAAAGCAAGTAGTTTAAATTGCATCGCTACAGCAGAAACTTCAAATTGAAAAAAAAAAAAAAAAAAAAAAAAAAAGGGAAGGGTTAAATCCACACTTCTATCGCCTAAATCGACACCCCTAATGCATTAACGATTTGTGTCACGGGCATTGATAACTTGTACTATTAGCATCAAAAGTTATATTAGGTGTGGATTTAGACGGTAGAAACATGGATTATTTAGTAATAGTCGGCTCGTGCTGCTTATTTAGAATTTTCTGCGCTGGACCTATTCGGTCAAAATAAGCCTGTTCTAGGATTATATTTTGAGCAATCAAGTTGGCGAAAATTGCTTGAAATTTCGTGAACAAACATGCCACGTAGTGACCAATTAAACTAGCTATTAGCTAATGCATTTTTCTCTCCTGCATTTGCATATTTCTTAATGCATTTATTGCCATAGCAGCTGATATGCACCTTTAGTTTTGGTTGCAACTCATCAACGCAGTTGCAACAAATACCTAGGAATTCAAGCAAGTCATCATGAAGTGGTAGATCAAAAACTTGGTAGTTCTTCATATGCGAATTATTAGATCTTAATTTGGAGACGAGTTAATTAGCTCAAACCCTTTGAGCTTCTGGTGATCAAACTGTCTAAAGTCAAAAAATCCTTGCATCATAGAATCATGCATCACTGATCACGAACAGAATACAGAAGAACATATAGTTGGTCAACAGAGAGCTGAGGTTCCTTTCCTATGTGGGCTGAGGCTGCTGATCATTTGGCCTTGACGCATTTGCTGAAGAACAGCAAAATTATTCGTCCAGAATGATGGTTGAATAGTTACGATTTTCATGTGGGATTTTGTTGTTTGCCAATGGTACCTTCCAAAGTTCTTGGCCGACGGATATTCACAGGGTCTTGGGCATGTATGGATGTTAACTGTGTGAACAATGAAAAAACATCTAGTGCAGTGGGGAACTCTTACAACGGAATGATAAAAACATAGTTTGATTTGCCACTTTTTAAAATAAAAAATTTTGATTGCATTGCAAATACATTTTTTAATACATTTTTTAATATTTTTAATAATCTTTTTATCTGACATATATCGCATCGTAAAAAAGTATTATATTGAAATTCCAAAAACTATCTTTTATTCAGACGCAATATTTTTAAAATGTATGTATAAATGCACGCACTCATAAAAACACACATATATTTTTGTATGTATCTTTGTTTCCACGATTTTAGGAGAGATATTCGCTTCATCCAAACTTATTAGCTTGTTTGATGTGGAAACAAGTAGTGATGGTGTGTTTAATTGATCGCGATAGCTTGGTAAATTATGCCTTCTTGTCTTGGTTGAGAAGATCTATTTAAGTACTAATTTGCAATTATGGAGTATCCAAACAAATATTTTCATTGCAATTAGTTTCTTCCAAAGGTAAAAAATGTATAATCCCAAAAAGCATATGAATGCTTGGAGCACTCAAAAGTGAAAATACGGTGCTTTAAGGCAGCTGATTACCTTTCCCATTAACATAAGACAAGTTCACCACTCCAATTCCACTCAAATAATTGCTGGTGATTATACTAAAAAATTCTCATTACTTGAAGATCTGTATAGTGCGATTTTATGGAGTTTAGCTTACGTTCCAATCAATAATGCTTCACGCTTTGATCTATCTATTGAATGGTCCACTTTTCGACAATTAAGGGCACAAAAATAGACATGTCTTGCCCAACTGGACCACGAATACTCAAAATCATTCAAGACTTTATATATATATATAAATATATACAGCACCACCATTATTCGACAATACATCATGGTTCTTGGTTGCTTGATTTCTCTTTATACTTTCTAACATCAGATTGACATTGCATATGAGCTGCACTGATTTAGCATAATTGATGAGATATATTTCCAAGTCTTTGAGAAAAAGTGAAGATATTGACTTCATGACGTAACAATTGCATATTCAATATTCTCTTTCTTGAATATTAATAGGAATTTATTAGACTTGTGTATGAGATGATGCACATACTTTAAATTTAAATTAGTAAGTAGTATATTTTTGTAATATGGTCTAATGAAGCTAATTACACATTTTGTAATTTGCTAGCATAACGTGCACATGGAAGGAGGGTTAGGTTGGGGGTAAGGTAGACGAAATTGTAAATAACAGGTTTTGAGTTCAAAACCTCTCATTTAAAAAAAAAAAAAAAGGAAGAAGAAGAAAGAAAACGTGTATATTTTCTATCTTTTTCACCATTTTTCTACGCATTTAAGAGATCCAAAATACTTCAAGATCACCCTTAAGAAACGAATAATGGATGACCTTGGTGGATCAAGTTTTTTGAGAAGATATGGTATTTGTTCCAACCTTTTTGGTTGGCCAAAAACGTGATTTCTTCCCAAAATGGAAACTGATGTAGGGCATGAGATAAGGCTTTCGGAATATTTTCATAAAGCATTGCAATCATTTTGATCATTAAGCACCAACAACAGATCAGAAATCCTCTTCTTTGCCTTTACATCTTTGTAGCAGTCAACTTATAAACATTAGTGTGTTCAAATTAAAGAAGCCACCAAGCCATGTGTTAAAGATTGGCATCCAAATTAATTATGAGCTCGTCATAACATGCACAGCTTTTCTTTTCTTTTCTTTTCTATTTTTTGGTTATACGAAATTTTGGAGATTTTTGTGCAATTAATGCAACAAGAATTCTTCTTTTTTTTTTTTCGAAAACGATATTGTATAACTTATCTATCCTAAACTACAGACCAGGAAGAATCTAAATAAACTTTGTGTTAGAGGCTAGCAGGTACATAGAACTACTAGCATTCAAGTGTGAAACGAATTCAAGGCTTTGTGCAACAAGAATTCAAGGTGTGAAACTCTTCAGTCTTACTATCAACTCACACTTGCCCGAGGCACCCTTCGTACTGCCAATTTCAATGCGATTGCTACCTTTCACATCTGCAATGCATTAATTTACAGTGCACGGTGGATTGAATGACAATTTATTACTTGTATCCAACACACAAAGAATCTGTAGACCTAAAACAGATGGTAGTAATAAACACCAAAAAGAACAAACAATAAACCTAGTCAACAAAAACGTCCAAACCCTTCACATTGTGATTGTATACCTAATGAGTAAAACAGTAATGGGTTTTGGTGCATAAACTCTAGAGTAGACCAACAAAATCCGATGTATCAGCAAAACTTGTACTTTTGTCGTAAGTCCGTGTAATTTCCATCATGACCAAGTGTGCCTTGGGCCCTTGGTCATTCATGTGACATAAACTAGACTAATATAATTATGTATGATTCTTGTAAGGTGATTCGCGTACAAAAGTTAAGTAGTGAATAATAGTTGCATCTCTTTGATTTATAAATATACTACTTCCTCCGTTTCAATTTGATAGTTCTGGTTCTTTTTTCACACAGTTTAATAAAAAGTAGTTCAGTTTGTTGGAACAATCAATTTAGGTAGCTATTTTTCTAAAATACCCTCACATTAATTAGAGTACAACTTTATGGAAACTTGAATTGATGGTAAAAAAAGAATCAACTCTCATTAGATGGGGTAGGTTTATAGTAACAACAACTTATATTGAATAAGGGTATTTTAGAAAAATTAAAATATAACTAAATTTTTTAATTAGAAAGTGGACTACAATTTGGGACAGACGAAAAAAGGAAACATGATTATCAAAATGGGACGGAGAGAGTATACATGTAGTCCTCCTTGACCACTCAGTTAAAGCCACATTGGTTTTTTCGAAAGTATACGTGATAATATAATTAAGTGCTTTATATACAAGAGAATACTAATTAGCTATATACTCCATATATCCCATTTTGATAATTTTATTTTTTTCATTCATTCTAATTTATAGTTCACCTTCCAATTCAAGAATATAGTTAATTTTTAACC